TGTATATATGTTACTAAATAAATAAATAGTTTTTATTTTATTTAGCGGAGAATATATTCTATACTTTAAAAAAAAAAAAACTTAAGTAAAAAATGAATTTTTATAAATTGATTGTGTTATTTTAAACTTTAAAAAATAAGTTAGATTTATTTAATCTTTAAGCAAAATTTATAAATAATTATAAAACTTTAATAATTAAAATAATATTTAGAAACATAAAATAATTATTTTTTGAAAAAGTAATACTTAATTATTTTATTTAATGTGTATGTATATATATAATTGTTTACCTAAAAATATTTTTTTTCATTTTTATTTAATATATTTTTTTAATTAAATTATTAAATCTCCATCATTTGCTAATTTTTTTACTACATCTAATCCTCCAATAAGTTCACTTTCAACATATAGCTAAGGAATTTAATTAAACCCTGATTTTTTTTTAGCTATTCAGAAACCCCAATATCAAAATCAACGTTAAAGAATTCGAATTAAATATTCAACTTATTTAAAATTTCTATAAATTCTTTTGATTTTTCACAATTAGAATCATTAGGAACTCCATTAATAAAAGCTAAAACATTATAATTTTTTAATAAAAATTTAATTTTCTTTTCACTATCTAAAACCCATTCACTTCCTGGGATTTTTTCCAATAGTTTATCTTCTTTTTCTAATTTTTTTACTTCTTCCAATCCCCCAACTAAATTTCCTCCTGCATAAAATACTGGAATTTGAACTTTTAATACATTTTCAAAATGATTTAATAAAGCCTAATCATTATCCAAATTAAAACAATTAAATCTAAAACCTGAGTTTTGTAAAGTTTATAACATTTCAGTTGTTTAAGTATTTAAAGTAACAGAAGAAGGAGTACCTTATAAAAATAGAAGAGTTTTATTTTCGTTTATTAATTATTTTAGTCTTTATTACGGATTAGATATTTTACATTCATCTGGAAGTTGTAAAGTTCCTTTAGCCATATGATCCTTAAATGAATCTAATCCTCCTAGTAATTTACCATTTATAAAAATTTGAGGAAACGTAGGCCATTTACTATATTATTTCAACCATATAACCATATCATCATCCGTATTTACGTCATAATATTAAAACTTTACTTCCATTTCTGCTAATATGTCTACTAATTATCGTGTAAATCTACATTAAGGAGCAGTTGGAGTACCTACAATAAACATTGTGAGACCAGGGTTAGACAATATTTAACTTATTTTGGAAAAAAAATGTTCTTTTTCTGCTATATATTATTTCTCATATTTTTCTTTTTCGTTCGTTAATGTTTCTAATAATTAAGCAATTGGTTCATTTTCTAATTTAAGAATTTTTACTTTTTTAAGACAATCTATTAAGAGAAGTGTTGGGACTGATTATATCTAATATTTGGAGGATATTTCAGGCAAATTTTCCGCATCAATTTTAGCAAATATTATTGATTCTTTTTCTGGAAAAAAAGATAATAATTATTCTAACTAAGTTGTGTACATTACAGAATGTTCATACCATGATGTGTAAAATTATAAAGCTAATAATTTACCAGGATTTACTTTACAGAGTTGGTTTAAATCATCTGAAGTGTTTATTTAATGCATTTTTTATTTTTTATTATTTTAATTTATTTTATTTTTAGAAAAGAAAAGATAAAATATTTTTTTATACTTTTCTTAGATTAATATTTTATGCGATTTTCTGATGGAATTTTATACTATTATAAATTATAATTATTTTATACCAATTTATTATTTTAGAGATGTAAAAAAAAAAATATTTGAAATATAAAAAAAGCTTATTATACATATAATTTATAAATTCTATATAATAGTCTTAATAAATGATGTTAAATTTTTAAATATATTCAAATAAATAAAAAAATGTCTTGAAATTTTCAATTAATATATGTAAATAAAACTTATTAAATTAGAATATCATAAATTTAAAATATTATTTTTAATTCAAAAATAAATATAAATTCAAAAACATAATTTACAAATAAATATGAAAATATGAAAATATTTATATGTATAATGTTTTTGTAAATTAAAATAAAAAAACTCAACTATTTACTTTAAATTTTATAAGATATTTAAAAAATAACTAATTATATATATCAAATTGAATTTATTATGATTATTTTATATATATATATTAATAAAAACGAGATTATAAACTCAACAGAATTTAAAAGCTAGTTTTTAAATCTTATTAATTATGTTTCGTTGTTTCGAATATAAATATACATAATTTAAATCAACGTATTCAGATATATTTAATAATAATAATATATTAGAATTATAAAAAAATTCTTATATCATCTAACTTATTTTTTTTGGTATATTTAGAATATTTTTATATTATAATTAATATAAATAAAAATATTTAAATATGATTTTTTAAATATATATTTTTTACGATAAAAATATGTTTATTAATTATAAAGGATATTTGAAATTAATTTATTTTATTTTTTCATTTTTTTTTAGATTTATTTAACTTTAATTATTATGAAATTGAATTAATATTAAATAAATAAAAAAGTAAAAATTCCGAAAAAAATATTATAAATAATAAAATAAAAAATTCTTTAAATCAATGATTTATTTATTAAAAAAATATATATTAGCTTTTTTAATTTATTTATTATTCACTTTTTTACTAAAATTAATATTTTATATGATTTTTAATTATTTAGTTAATTATATTATATTATTTTTTTTGTTTTATTTTATTTTTTAGTTAAATAACTTGATTAAAAATAATTATTATATTTACACGTTTAGTATATTTAATTGAAAAATGATATTGTTCAAGAAAAATAAAAATTAATAAAGAATTTTTTTATAATATATATATATTAACAAAATCTTATTTTAATATTTTAAATATTTAAAGCACAAATAAAAAATAAAATAATGCATTTATTTTAGTATTTAATAGCATATATTGTCCTTTAAATATAAGTTTTTGCTCATTAAACAAAAGAAGATATGCAAGAAGAATTAAGTAATAAAAAATTAGTCTTTAAATAATATATAAATTATTATATTTTAATATTAAAGATAGGAAAACAATATACTATGGATCGACATTAAGAATAAGAAATTAAAGCAACAAATACCAGTAAATAAATATTTTTTTACATAATATAATAATGCTTAATAGTATTCATTCTTAAGATGTATCTTATGGATCAGGTTCCAGAGGATAAGTTATCACATGTAAATATATTAAATAAAAAAATCAAAATCAAAATCAAAGGTAATCTAAGTGATAATGATATGGATAGCTTATTTACTATTAAATTTGGATAAGGATAACCTGTTTAGACATACAGTAAAATTTTTTAATAGTTAAGAAAACGTTTTTATTTAATTCTCCATATTTTAAAAAATATAGATAGTCCTGTAAAATGTGGAGATATAATTAGATTGGAACACATAAACACTAAAAAAAATCTTCATTCACATAATTATAAATCCGCAATTAGTAATAAATAAGAAGTTTCCGGTTTTGGTAATAATGGCTAAGGAGATTTGAGTAAAAATTAAATAAAAATTATATATATAAATAAAATATGATAAATTATGATCTTATATTTTTTAAATGAAAAAAAGATGATAATTTTATTATTGAATGTATCAATGGTCAAAAAGGAAGTGACTTATTGGCTAGCTTTGAATTTTACCTACAACATTAATTATCAAAATTATATTTAAGTAGTAGCAAAAGGTTTAACTACAATAGATCAAATTGTGGTTATAATTGTCCAATTATTGATTAATTAGAAGTAAATTGCTAATCTAATAAGGATGCTGATAGTAAATGGAAAGTTGTTGGGGTATAATTTTTTGTTATTTATAGTTTTTTTAAATTAAATATTTTTTTATTTTAATTGATAAATGCATATTATATCTTTTTTATAGGGTCTAATTTTATAAAAAAGTTAATGGTAAAATAATAATGTAGATGATTCTTATGATGATGAAGTTTATGAATAACCTTAAAATAAAGAATAGTTAGACGATGAAGTATATGAAGAAGTATAATTTAAAAAAATAACGGACTTATGATTATGAAAAATAAAAATCTATATATTATAAATTTTATAAGCAAAAAGATTTTTAAATTAGAAAATAAAAAATAAAAACAATTTATAAATATATAATAAGTTTTATATGTAAAACAAATTTATATAATATTTATTTTTAATTTATATATATAAAAAAAAGACATTTGATAATAAACTAATATATTGAATATTGAAGCATATTAGAATGATTTTTATATATTTGAAATAATTTTTTAAAATATATTCATATAATTATATATTATCATAAATACTAAAGCTTAATTTATTATATATTAATATGATTTTTTATTATTAAAATATTAAAAAGTATATATTATAATTATAAATAAAAAAATAAATATTAAATATATCTTAATTTTAATCCTATTTATAATAGTATATTCAATTTATGTAATAAATAATTATAATTACAATAAAATTAAACTTTTTTATTATCAAATAACAATAAATATATTAAATTATAATATTTAACAAAGATAGCTTTCATAATATTTAATTTTAAAAATTAAATTTTTAAGGGATTTAATTAATGTTTTTACATCTCATAAATTCTATATATTAATTCTTTTAAATTATTATAATTCATTTATTAAATTAAAATTTAATAAAAAGCTATTTAATATTTAAAAATTATTATAAAGTATATAAAATTATAATTATGTTTTTAATAAAAATGGAAATAACAATAATAATTAATATAATTTAATAAAAATCTGTCAAAAATATAATCTTTAAAATAAAAATATATATATTTTTTATGTTTTAATTGTTATAATTAAAAAAGAATTAAAATAATTAAATATTAAAGTAAGGTAAATATTTGAAGCTATTTAAAAGATAGATTGTATTTTTTTTATATGAAAAATATTTATATTTCAAGTATTTTATTTATTTATATTATTATTATTATTTTATATATTTATTTCTTATTAATCTCAAAAAAATAATAATAAAAAAATATAATATTAATAACATAAATTAAATATTCTTTTGTTAATTTTTTTTTTAATTATTAAATAATTTTTTTAATATCTCCATATGAAAATCATATAAAAATTTATTATTTTAAAGGGAATAAGTAATTAACAAATAATAAAAATGTTCAAAAGAAACTTTAGGCTATTTAAAATTTATAAATAAAATAATATTATTTCATGCATTTTTTTAAAAAAAAATAAAGGAGCAAAATATTAAAATGCCGAATAAATAATCAAATTGTTTAAAAGGCATTTAATAATTAAAATCTAAAATTTATTGTATTTTTTAATTATTTCTGAGGAAGCAAAACCTAATATTTTATTTAATTTTTATTTTTAAATAATTATAATTTTGAATAACCATATTGACTATTTATATTTATATAGTTTATAATTATTTATATTATAATTATAAATTTATTTTGTAGTATTTTTCAACAAAACATTATTTATAGAAAGATATACATTTATTTATTTTTCACATTAATAGTTATTTTATTTATTCAATTTTCATTAATTATTTGCAAATCCAAAATGCCAAAAAATTTCCAAAACCTATACTAAATCCAAATATTAATGGATTAAAAAACCATAATTTTATGTATCTTATAAATGTCGGTTTACTTTCTGTATATTCGCTTAAGTTCTTTTGAGAGAATGTAGCTATTAGTTGTTATTCCATACTAAAAAAAAAAAAAATATTTATTGGTATCGATATTTTTCTAATTAATAATAAAGATATTTTTTGTAAATTATATAAAAAATATAAAAAAATTAAATAAATTAATAATTATTAATCTCTAACTTTAATTTTGGTTGATTATTTTACTTTATTTAAAATTCTTAAATATAAATAATTTTTAAATAATTAAATATAAGATAATAATTATTGAAAAATAATTATTTTAATTTAAACTAATTTTAAAATTTAAATAAATTCAGTATCTTTAATTAAATTGAAGCTAATAAAAAAATTATTAAAATAATATGAAATAATTTGCTTTATGAATAAAAATGAATATTAAAATTTTTGGATTATAAAATAACAAATATTTTTATTTTAAAAAAAAATTAAATAATAGATATAATAAATATAAAACAAAAAAAGATAAATTTTAAAATATCGTTAATTCAATAAAAATATTAAAAAATAAAATTTTATGTAATAATATTAAATATCAAATTATATTAGTTATCTTTAGAAAAAAAATATTAACAAAAAACTTTAAAATTAAACCCCTAATAATGCATATAGGTAAGGGCTATTTATTCACTTCTAAAAATAAATATGCTGATATTGTCAGTACTGATTATTATTAATATTTAAAAATTCTTATATTTATTGTTATTTTAATTTTAGAGTTAAACTAACAAAAAATTTAAAGATTGAAAAAAATAAAATAATTAAATATCTAAAATTTTTAATTAATTAAAAAAATACAAAAATAATATGAATAATACCTAAAAAGCATATTAAACAGCATAAAGAGTAATACATGAAGGAAAATGGCTTCGGTTTAAAGAAGCTGATGCAAATATAAGAGGTAAATAAATAAAAAGTTATGAATATTTTGAAAGAACAACACGAAAAAAGGACACTTAATTAGATGGAGTATAAATATTTGCATTTTTAAAATCTGCTGAAACTTAAAAAGGAAATGGATTTTAATCGCAAATTATAGAATTCCTGTGAATAGATATGTTTTGGAATGTCCAGCTGGTCTTTTAGAAAATTCTGATGTTTACCAAAATGCTTTAAGGGAATTAAAAGAAGAAACAGGATATTATTCTACAGAAAAATAATTTTTTAATTTGGTATAATAATAGCCTGTTTTATTTTCTGATCCTTGGAAAAGTACAGGAAGTGGAACTTGTATTTTTTTAGAAGTTAATGAATATGAAAATAAAAATCCTACTCAAAATTTGTAGGATGAAGAAGAAATTTATGTTCATTTGGTTGATGTGGATGAGTAATTAGCTTTAAATGTTAAAAATTTGGCTATTTAAAAAGGATATTTAATAGAAGCTAGTGTTTGGAATTTTTGTTGTGGATATAACTTTAAATTATATGGATAATAAAAATAATTGTGAAATCTTTATAAATTGGATATAAACCTTTATTAAAAAATTATACTTGATTAAAAAAAAAAGGATTTAGTAAAAGAAAAAAAAAATTAAGCGTATGATATAAAAATCATTAAAATTTACTTTTTAATTTTTTATAAAATTTAAATATTAATTAATATATATATTAAATAGTATTTTTAATTAAAGTATAAAGTAATAAATAATATACATACTGTAAATATATTAATTTCATTATTAGAAGAAACATTAAAATAATTTAATTTAAAAACAATAAAAATTATTTATTTAATATTGTTTTCTTAAATAAAAGTGAGAAAAAGTATAATATAAATTAAAAATATGAATTCAAAAAAAATATAATATGTTTATAATTTTATTGTAATTAAAATTAAATAAAAAAAAAGATATAAAAATAGATATTATAATGCATAATATTTTTAGTATATTATTTAATTAAGAAAATAACAAATATATAGAAAAAAAAATTGTCTATATTTATATTTGAAGATAAAAATTTTTTAAATAAAAATTAATATAAAAATAAGAAGAGTAAATTTAATAAATAAATAAAAATAATACAGATTATTTATTTTTTTAAATATAATATAAAAAATTTATTGTAAAAATAAATATTATAATTTTTTTGTGAGAAATTAAATATTAATATAAAAAAAAGAAGATATATAATAAAAAAAAAATATAAATAGAAATAATAATATATATATATATATATATATATATATATATAAATATAATTAATAAAATTAATAATTAATAAAAATATATTTATATATTTTGTTATTTATAAATTTTATTGTATAAATTAAAATTTATTAGTTGATATTATTAAAAATAAAAACTTAATAATGGCTAACTATACAAAACATTCAATAATAGATTATTTTTTAGAAGTTGAATAATAATTAAATTAATTAGAAAGTGATTTAGATTATACTAAATAAAATATAGAAAATACTAAAGTTGACCTTGTGAAGATAGGAATAAAAAATGATGAATTTTAAGAAGATTGTAAGAAATATATAACTGAGTAACTATTAAAGCTAGCTTCCGATTTTTAAAAAAAATCTTAAATTGAAGATAAAGAAAGTGCTCATATTTAAAAATAATTAAATTTTTTATAAAGCCAAAGAATAAGTCTACAGAGAGAATCATTAGTATTATAAGTACATGTATTAGAAGATGAAAAAGAGATAGGTTATGTACATTAATGAAAAAATATATAATAAAGAAATATTAAAATTACTATATATATATATATATATATATATATATATATATAAATATATATATATATATATACACAAAACTAAATATAAATTAAAGTATAAAATATATATTTTTTATTTCAAATTATTTTTTTTTATTTTTATTCGATAAAATCCCAGAAAGCATTTTCAATTTCAACGATATTTATTTTATAGTTTTCTCGACTTAAAAAATATATTAAAATTACTTTGTGAATTTACAATAAAATTACCAAAAATAATATTAAAATTCGAATTTCTATTTAAATTCCTTAATAATCACTCAATAAACTAGAAGTCCATTTAAAAAAGTAAATTAGAATCCAAATAATATCTAATATTATAGAAAATATTATTATTTTTATAAATATACATATATTTTTTCCATTTTCTTCTGATATTTTTTTCTATAGTAAACATATTATGTATATAAAGCATATACATATATCTAATAATCCACTTTTTTTAAAACAAATAAAAATGCTTAAAACATGCAAGATAAGGACACATAGAAATGTTTATTAAACGCTTTTTTATCTTCATTAACAACATAAAAATCTTATTTAAAAGATTAGTATTGTATTTATTAATTCAGTTGTCCGTCTAAAATGTGCTAAGTATTTAAACCTTAATTATATTTTTAAACAAAAGGAAGTCTTAAATCATTTTATTATTGTTTAAACACTTAAATTTCATAATAAAGTTAAGTATTAATTTATAATAATAATTAAAGTTGTTATTCTGTTTATTAGATATTTTAAATTTATATTTTTCCTTCTACTTCTATTTTAAAATCAGAATCACTACTCATTAAAAAAACTTATTATTTTTATAAAATTTCTAAAGAAAAATCATGAAAATAAATTTCCGATTCACCAATTAAAATGTTATCTTAAAATACTTATATTTACATGAAATCTTATATATCAATATCAATCTATTAATTAAAAAAAAACAAGAAAAATCAATTTTAATTATTAATAAATTATTTTACTGTTAAATTTATTTATCCTATATTATTAATAATTGGTATTATTTTTTATAATTTTTCGTATTTTATATTTATATTGAAATCCTTTGGTAAATTTGAGTATATTTGTATTTTGTTTAAGATAAATTTATTTCTTTCTTATTTTTATAGACCATTTTGGATATAATATTCAATATTTTTTTTAACGTTTTCTATAAATTTATTAATGGATTGAATTCGATGTTAAGTAAATATTATTTTTTCTTTCAAAGATTTTTCTGCTTCTAAATGGACTGTTATAAAGTTTTCAAATGTTGGATGGTATAAATTTATCATTCTATTATATAATTCATTTAAAACATCAGGTTTATAATCTTATTATTTAACTTAATTCTTTTATTTTATATTTAAATTTTAATTTATTTAATATTTACATTATTTGTTTAAATTAAACTATTTAATATTAACTCTAATTATTATATATTGATATTAGAATTAATGTTTAAACTTGGTATTTATTTTTAAACATATTATATTAATTCTATTTTTTCCATAATCATTATTTATTAATTATTTTATTTAATTTTAATTTTTATTTATTATATAAGAATTTAATTTTATTATTTTTAATATAAAAATATTATAAAACTATATTTAATGAACACATAATATAAAAGTATTTTTGTAATTATAATTAAAATAAATAATTGTATTTAAAAATAATAAAACTTTTAAATAAATTCTATTTAAATTTAATATTTTCAAATAATAAAATAATTAGAATTTTAAAGTTTTTAATTTATTTGCTTAAAGTATTTTCATTTATTCAAATAAGCTAATATATAAAAAATAGATTTAAAAATAAAAATATTTAAATTATAGTATACTTAATCTCTTATCGATATCTCTTTTAATAATTTCTAAACTATTTGAATCCAACTCTTTGACAAGGGAAAGGATTGCAATAACAATATTTTAATTCTTATTCATATTTTTTTCATTATCAATAAAATTATTATTTGGAATCTATTTATTAATTAATATTTATATATATTTTATTATATAGATTATTATTTTATACTCCATATTTATTATCATTTGGTTAATTAATTTAGATATTTTTATTACTAAACTATTGTATTTTTTCTTCTTAAGATTGCTTTTTAGAAATTTACAAAGGAAATCCTTAATCTGTATACTTTTATTCAGGATTGTATTTCTAATCATTATATTTTTAATTTTAAGGAGAAACATCAACTTTTTAATTACTATTATTAGGAGGCGTGTTTTTTTAAGAACAAGATGAATTATTCCTACTAAGATCAATAAAATCAACATTAAAGGCTTATGCTTAATTAATTTCTTCTTATGTTATAGGAGTATTATCTAATTTTTATAAATTTGGTAAAGATTTAATTACAGTTTCTCTGTAATTAGGAATGTTGGCACAAGGATTATCACAAAGCCATAAAACTTTTAGCTCAGGTAAATTAACTAAATGTCTAATTTCTGTAATATCTTATATAGAATTTTTTCTTAAATATAATTCTTTTATTTTTAAACAGCATTTTATATATTTTAAAGATGATATTTAATTTACTGATAAAGATAATACTTCTAAATTAGGCATTCCTTTTAAAACGTGTAAATCATCTAGTTCTTATCCCCATAGATTAAGGTTTTTTACTAAATGTATTGCTTCTGTTTTGGTTTTTTATTTTATTAGATCTTCTGTTAAAGGTTTTCCCATTCTTTGTATTTTTATGTATTCTTTATTTTTTTATTTATTTTTATATATATTAACTTTTTAAAAAAATATAATTAAAAAATTTAAATGATATATATATTATTTATAAAATTATAAATAAATAATATATAAATTTTGGAATTTTAATTAAATAAATTTAATATTCATTTCGATTTGATATGCTATTTTTTTTTTTATTAATTACTAATTATAGTTTATATTATTCTATTCAAATATTATGTTTTTTTATTGTTAAAATAAAATTATTATTTATCAAATATATATTTATAATATATACTTTATAAATATCTTTTTCATATTATTATGTAATTTTCTTTAATTTTGTTTAATAATTAAATTAACAAAAAAAGCTACAATTATCCGATTTTCATCGCATATTTTTGTTAAAAACAGTTACAGATAAAATATATAATCAATAGGACACAAGTTAAATTTTAAAAACATGAATATAAATTAAAGTATATATGATTTTTTTTTATAAAATTTCATAAATATATAGTTGATAAAAATGTATTAATTATTATTTATAAATAAATTGATATGATAAATTTTATTTTAAAATAATAGAATCATAAAAATAGTAATATTTTTAAAATTAAACACATTTTTTTAATATTATGGTTATATACTTATTATATTATCTTCAATTATTAATTTTCAAAAGTTATTTTATTCTAAAAGAAAATTATATTTAAATTAAACTTCAGGTGACTATAAACGAAAATCTTTTAGCTATTCTAACATTTAATCTTAAATTATATCTTATTAATTTTATAAATTTTATAATTAAGAAAGTCGTGTATTAATAATTTATAAATTTAATTTTTTTTCTCTGTTTGCTATTAAGCAACTATTAGATTTCTTTAATTAAGGAGATTCTTGTTTTGACATTTCCTCTTCTTCATATTGCTTTTTTAATTAATTCTTAATGTGATCTAAAGAATATTCATCTTCTAATCCAGGTAAATTTAACAATTAAATAGCTTATTTTTTTGTTACAAATCTACCTTTTACTCTAAGCCTATTATCCGCGACTTTTTTCCTTATATCATATGAAACTTTTTTTTGCCATCTTTTTTTTTATAAATTTTAAACATATATAAAATTGTATACGATCTTCTTTTTTTCTTTTCTTAGTAAATTCGAATTTTTTATTTTCTTTATTCTTAAGTAAGACCTCCTATAGATTTTTAACCCTTTATTTAATATTATATTTCATTTTTAAAATTAATTTTATTTACTTAGTTTTAGAATTTTTCTTATAAATCATTTTAATTTATTTATTTTTCATTAAATATCACATTCACTTTTTATAAATTAAAAAAAATTAATTTTATTTTTAATATTTTTACAATTTTCATTTTTAGTTATAGATTTTTTTAATTTTATTGGACTTTAGCTTGAAGAAGGATTATATTATACACTTTATTCTTTTTTAACTTAAATATTTTTTTATGGAGTAAGAAAATAAATATCATTAGTTTCTCTATTTTATAGTTTAAATAAAATAATATTAAAATATATCTTTTAATTTAATATAATAAATAATAAGTATTCATAATATTACAAATTATTGAAATATTAATAGTTTAATTATGTTTACTGAAATTTTAACATTTATTTTGTTATAATATTTTCATTAAATTTGTTTCTTTTTATAGTATTTATTTTATTTTAATTATAAAATAAATAATTTATAAAAATTATATTTATAATATTTATTTTAATATATGTTTATATGATTTAAATATATATTTAACCTTTATCCTTCAAATGTTTAATTTTCTTCTGCCTTGATTCTTTTTAAAATTTTGTACTGCTAATTTTATAATTAATTAATATATTATGTTTAGCAAGGTTAATTAATTTATATATTATTTGTGAATGGTTAATTTTTATTATTATATTATTAAAAAGTATACTAACATTAATAGTCATTTAAGTTACCATCATAAAAGTAATTATTTGGGATATAATCCTTTTTTTAGTTTAAAATATTTTAATTAAGATAATTAAAATCATCTTAATCATTTTATTAATAATAATTATTTGGTTAAATCAAACATTCTTAGAGAGGATTATTTTAATAATTTATTTAATTTATTTAATTTAAATCTTCGGATGGATTTTATAATACTTGTGCATCTATATTTAGAATTTTAGGAGAATTAAATGAATTTTTTCTGGATCTAAAAGTATTAAAATTTTGAGAAAAATTGCCAAATTATTAGTTTTAAGACTTATATACATTTTAAGGATTTTAAATATCTTAATAATCATTAGAGAATGTTTAGTTTGTGGTTACATCTAAATTTAAATTATTTTCTTAGATATTTTCATAATTATTAATTTTTAATTTTTATTTTTTTATTTTTTCTTAAAAAACTTTTACAAATTTTTATATTAATTATATTTTGGTATTTCTTTATTTTTAATAGATTGATAATATAATAAATAAATAATGTAAATATAAATAAAAAATATAATCAACTATATAGAAATAAATTTATTTTATTTAATTTTTTTTTATTATTGGTTTCTAAATTATAATTAAAAATATCATATTTAAATATTTGTAAAAATTATTCTTAAAAGAAACATAAAAAAATATAGTAAATATAATATGCAAATTTTTAAAATAGACAATTTTTATTTAAATTTATTAAAAATGTTAAAATAATTAAAAATAAAATATTTTGTTTTTAATAAAAATATTTATTAATTAATAAACTTATAATTAAAAAAATATTAATAACTTTTATTATTTTAATAAGATTTAATTTTACATCGATATTTTAAATTAATAAATTCTATATATCTAAAAAAAAAATATTATTAAAAGAACTAATAATTAAATAAATTTTTAAATTTAGTATAAAAAAACTATTTGACATTTTAATTTAATTTTTTATATTAATTTAAATAAAGTAAAGGTATTTAGATATATTTTTAATAAAAAAGTTATTCTTTGGTATAGATTTTACCTAAAAAATAATTAAATATGATCAAATAAGAATAATCCATAGAAATAAAAAATTAAATAATAATATCTTAATAATTAAGTAATTTTATTCGTTTTTATATAATTATTAAAATTTTTAAATTATTTATATAATAAAAAATAAAAATAAATAATGTCTGATATAAAGTATATATTGTATATAATTATGTATATAATTCCTCAAAACAAAAATGTAAATTTACAATAATTTTAATAAAAAAAATATATTCAAAAAGTTAAAATATATTTTTTTATGATTTAGTTTACTTATATTTCATTAAATTATACTTTTATCTTTTTATTTACTTTAAAAGAATAAGTTTTAATCCTATATTTATTGGTTTTTTTGGTAGATAATTTCTCTAACTTATTAATCCATTTTATTTAATTAATTATTTAATTATTATATCAAGTTTTTCTTCTTATTTACCTTTTCTTTATAATTTTAATTACTGTTTTTTAATTATTCTATTTAATTAATTAAGTCATCTTCTTTACTTATTCCTTATTATATTTCGTTTTTTAATTATGTATTTTCATAAATAAATTCTTATAATTTATCTTCTAATTTATCTATTTCCTTTTTATATAAATTTATTAAATTATATTTATTTATTTTTTAAAAAAACTTCATTTTGAATATTGGCTAAAAATTTATTTTAATGTTCTAATTTTAATATTAATTGTCTTTATTATTCATTTTCTGAATTCAATTCTTAATTGTCTATCTCTAATTAATATATTTTTTGCTAATCTTAATTGGACTATTACTATAAAATATTTATATTCTCATCATTTTATTTATTTATTAATGTTAGTTTTTAATTTTATTCTTAAGCTTAGATTTTCTAAATATTAAAAATTAATAAAAACAATATATTTTTATTTTTAAACTTCTTATGTTTCATCTTAAAAGCTGCTTAACAGCTATTAATTTTGATATTTTTATTTTTTATTTTAATTTTTTAATCTTTCACTATTTATTAAATATATATTTGTAAAAATAATGTTTTACATTTCTTTTTCTAAATCTTATTAAATTAGATTTTTTTGGTTAATTTCGTGAATTAAAGACTCATTTTTTTTAATAATTTTTTCATATTAATTTACGGTATTTTGTTATTCCTATTATAAAATGTTAAACTTTTATTATAAATTTTTATTTTCTATTTTTAATTAATTATTTATTTCTTTTTTTTTAGTATCTCTTCATTTTTTTAATTTAAAATGTTTTATTTTTTTTCTTAGTATTTATTTTTTAATGAATTTAATTCCTGATCTAACTTTTAATTCTTTAATTCTGTGTTTTGTACTTTTTTCTCATTCACTTACATATTTTCTCTTAATTATTAATTTATTACGCGTTCTTCTTCATATATTTCATTTAAATTATTTAATTTGTTATTAATAATATTAAGTTCTGACTATTTCTATTTAATTATTTATTCTGTTTAGTATATTTCTTATTATAACTCTTGTATATTTTTTTATTAATTTAAACTTATTTTTATGTGATTTTCACATTCTTAAGTTAATTCATCTATTTTTTTATTTAATTCCTACTATTATTATTAATTATTTATTTTATTTTCACTAAATTATTCTTCTATTTATTTTAAATTTTATCTTTTTTATGATAATAATGAAATAATTTATTTCAATATATTTATTGTAAATAAAAGTTACTTTTGATATTTTGATTTTTCTTTTTTCTTATTCAACTTTAATTATTGTTTTTATATAATATCATGCATTTCTTATTGAGTTTATTCAAATTCTTTTTCATTATTTATTTTTATTTAAATAATGTCATTATCTCTTTCAATTTATGATTTTAATTCATTTATCATTGATTAAAAATATTAAATTTAACTATTTTAATCTTTCATTTCATTTTCTAAAAATAAAATTTGATTGTCTTTTTCTACCATTTCTTCTTTTAATTTCCTATTTACTTATTTTAATTATAAATACTATTCTTAAATATAGAAGTTTTAATCTGCTAATAATTCTTTTAATTATCTTAGATTTTTAACTGATCTATGTATTTTTTAAAATATATCAAATTTTATATATTTAATATATATAAAAAAAACATATCAATTGCATGTTCTGATTAATTTTAATTTTTTTTTAAAAAATTTGCATCATTTTCGAGAATAACTTCATCTATTTTATCCAAAATTTATTCTTTTAATTCACTCATTTTTTTATTTTCACTTTTAGTGTTTGTTATTAAATTTTCGTCAATTTAATATTTATTAATATATTATTAAGATTATTCACTATTTAAGCTATCATATCTTTATTACTAATTATTCTACTATTCTTCATAATCATTATACTATTGAATGTTTTCAGTATCTTAAAATAATTTTTAGTTTTAAATTTCAAAAGTTTCGATTGAAGATTTTCTTTAATAATCTTCTTGGTTTTTAGTTTTTGATGTAATTAATTATTCTTTATAATTTGTTTATTCTTTAGAACTTTTTAATTATTTAAAACTATTTTATTCTTTAAAGTCTGTTAAATTTTTTTAATTTGATTATATTTTAGAAGTATTATTATATTAACTCATTACACTAATTATTTCTTGATTTTTAGTTTAAGTAACTTTTTTATTTTTTTATAAAAAGAAATAAAATAAAATAATTACATTATCTTTTTGATAAATTGTTTGAGTTTTTTTTTATTTATTTAAGGAAAAGTAAAGCTTCTTAGATTTTAAAATTCTACATTTTGAGTTTATTTTTTTCTTTAGGATTTAAATTATTCATCTATTAAATAATTTATTAAATTTCTTGAATTTCTTTTTCTCTATAAATAGCCCAATCATAAATTTCATCATTAGAAAAATCTTTTGTTTAAGCTGTAAAAGAGTAAATATCTCTGCACAAATTATCTATATCTTTTTAAACATCATTTATATTTGCATTTTATTCATTTATTTATCTTTTATATTAAAAAGAAGATTAATCATCCAAAGGAAAATGCTATGTTAATTATTCTTAATTATTTTAATAATAGTTATTCTTGGTAACTGTATTATTTATTTCTATAGAACTTTAGGCAGGATTGTATTCTTATATAATTTAATTTATTTATTACATAGGACTAAAAGATTCTTTAAATTAAGGAGGAGAATTAAAAGTTTATTAATGTAAATTATTGTTGCACTATATTTAATTAGTATCTTAAAAAATTTATTGTTAAGTATTTAAAAAATTCTATTATTATGTATTTTATTATTAATAATTTTAAAAATTCTATAAATCTTGTAATTCTTAAAATTAATTACTTTTTTAAAATTCTTCTTAATTTTTATTTAAAGAATCTTAATTATTCTCATACAAATTTTAATTTTTAAAATTTGGTAATTATTACTATGATTACAAATTACTTACTTCGAAATCTACAATATCTTTATAATAATTATCTATTTCTTCTTTTATAGATGAACAATATTTAAGAACTTCAACAGCTTCCTAAAATTGTGAGTAAGCAGCAGAAACATGACAAATTAGATTTGCAAAATTATCATTTAACTGATTAGAAGAGTCAAATAATTATTAAATAAGTTTCGAATTGTTAAAAGCTGGTGTTTCCATTATATTTTGATTTTTCTTTGTAGAAATATCCACAAGATAATCTTTTAAAACTATGAATTCAGGAATTCTAGCTTAACAGAAATCAGCACAATGAACAAAAGTGATAGTTGAAAAAAGTCCAGAATCTGCCGAATTTAAATTATTAGTATATTTTTTGGTTTAATTTTTATAAATTCTAAATCTATAAAATACATGAATTCTTCTAATTCCTTAATCATTTTATCCAATTTCCTTTAATCTATCTCTTGTTTAATTATATATGTTTCTAAATTATCCTTAATTATGCAATTCTTATTCTTCAGGTTCTTCTTTTGGATCTTTTCCAAGTAAATCAATTACATTATTATTATAAATCGCGAAAATCTGAAAAAGTACTTAAATTGGAGATTTTTATTTCGATACATTATTTTTTAGACCTACTCCTTATTCAGATAATTCACATAATTTACACATATCTTATACTGATTGCATTAATATTCCTTTATCATTTTCACCTTTTATTGTGTATTTTTTACCTGTTCTTTATTTTTTATTATTAAAATTACTATTTTTTTATTTTTTTACTTTGCAGGTCCTAATATTAAATATGTATAACTTATTCCTTCTGACATTGCTTTAGTTATTTAGCTTTCGCATATTTATTTATATATTTAAGGATTTGTTGTCTTAAAATTCATTGCTTAATCAAATTTATATATGCTGGCATTTTCAAGAATAGAATTTTAATATTGGATTAAGTTTTCATCTGTTTTTACGTAATCTTCTAATAATTGATTTTTTATAGGATTATTACATGCAGCTATTAGCTAAGGTTTTTACTTAGTCGAAGATGAAGTAAATATACAGCATTTAAAATCTTTTTATAATGAAGATCCGTTTATCATTTGTTGTGATGAACTACCCTTTTTTAAAGCTGATTTTGGCTACTATTATGCTTATTATGCATTTTGTTTGCTGATATTTGTGTTTTCAGTCAAATCTTTTGTAGGTTCATTAGAAGAATATTAAGCCGCAATCCCTAATGTTCTTATTCTTGCTAATATTTTAAGTTATCGTTGGTTATTCATTTTTTTAAAAAAATATTATTTATTGAATTTATTTTTATGTTTTTTATTTATTTAGACTTTTTATATTTGAATTTTTTTTAAATATAATTAATAAAAAAATATATATTTTGTATAATTTCAAAAGTTATTTTTTATTATTTTAAAATTATTATAGTTTAAATATATAATTTAATATTTATTTTATATATTTTTTTTATCTATTATAATATAATTAAAAAGAAAATTTAATTTAATTTAGTAAGAACTAAATAATTATAATAATAATGGGTAATGATTGTTCAAATTGTGCAAATATTTAAAAAGAAAACACATAAGAACTAAATACATCAAATATTGTGATAAAAAACTAAGAAAAATTAAAAGAAAAACCATATCAACATGGGAAACCTTACGATACGAAAGAAAATAAAGATAACCAATATTAAGATACTTATTAAAAAGCAGTTCCTACAATAATATAAAGTGTAAACAATAATAACTTATGTAATAATATGAACAATTTTTAATCAGCAAATACTAATTTAAATAAAAATAGTATAAACGAAGATACTAAAACAGTCGAAAACAACCAAAACTCAAATATATGCAATATATATAATCGTTAAAGGTAAAAAATATAAATATTTTTATTACAATAATTACAAAAGTAAAAATGACCAAAACAGTGATTAATTAGCTATATAAATGCATCATTATTTTTCTTAAGATGAATGTCGTGAAATAATGTTTAATAATAATTAATAAATCTAAAATTCTTCTATGCGTGAAAAATAACCTCCTTATAAATTCTCTTCAGGTGCTATTTATGAAGGTGAATGGTTAGGAGCTATGAGAGATGGTTATGGAACTTAAACATGGCCTGATGGAGCAAAATATGAAGGATAATGGGTTCAGAATAAAGCTAATGGAAAAGGAAAATTCTGGCATGTTGATGGTGATATTTACGAAGGAGAATGGAAAGAAGATAAAGCTAATGGGTATGGAGTTTATATACATTTAAATGGAGCAAAATATGAAGGGTAATGGAAAGATGATTTTCAAAATGGATATGGAGTTGAAGTTTGGGTTGATGGATCAAAATATGAAGGATATTATAATCAAGGAAAAAAAGATGGATAAGGCACATATACATGGCCTGATTAATCTAAATATACAGGATAATGGGTTGATAATAAAATTCATGGATATGGAATTTACACTTGGTAAGATGGAAGAAAATATGAAGTACTTTTTCCATTTTTTTTATTTAAATTTTTTTTTAATAAAGGGAAATTGGTAAAATAATACAATGCACGGTAAAGGAGTTTATACTTGGAAAGATGGTCGAAGATATGAAGGTGAATATTAATATGATAAAAAGCATGGGTTTGGAGTATATACATGGGCTGATTAAAGAAGGTATGAAGGATATTGGAAACATGGAAAATAGCATGGGAAAGGTATGTATATTTTAGCTGATGGAACTATTAAATATGGTATTTGGGAAGAAGGTAAAAGGATTTAATGGATCGGAAAGTAGGAATATGATATTTTGGATAATAATAACTTTAATTGAAATATTTATTTTTATTTTATTTTTTCTTTATTATTATATTAATATTAATCTTATCTATTTTTTATATTTTTTCCTGTATATTCTTTTATATAATATACTAATTATTGTATGCATAATATGTTAAAAGTTTTTTTTGTTATTTTGCTTTTTTATTATATTTGTAACTAATTATATAAAATATTTAATTTAAATGCATTAAAAATTAATTGAAAATAATACATATAAATAATATATTATATTTAAATGAAAAAACATTAAAAAATATATATTCAATAAATTTTAATACTTATTAATATTAATTTTATAAAATATAATATATTTAATAATTTATTTTATTATTACAATTTATTTTGTTATTGAATCTTTTACTTAATAATAACAATTTTGATAATAGAAATAAAAATATTTAATAATTTTATATAAATTTATTATTAAAAGACATTCTTTAAAAATAATAAAAAGTGAGGAGACAAATACACAATTTAAGAGTTATTAAAGCATTTTAATAAATTTGTGAAATTTGAATAATTTTTCTTTTTTTTTAAGCTTTTGAAATATAATAGATTTCAATATTTATAATAAAAAAGTAAATTATAGAATCTTATTTTTTGAATCTAAAAAGTTAGAAATAGAATATGATTTGTATTTCCAAAAAAACAAACTAATCAATAATATATGTATATAATTTATCAAAAATCATAAAGTAATACAATGAAGTGTCTAGAATTAAAAGAGCTAATAGATTTAGATAATTTTATGAATTATAGATTTAGATAATTTTATGAATTTTTTGTATAGAATATAGTCCTAAAATAGTATGTCCTACAGTTGAAGAAAAGTAAAATTATGATAAAAAATAATAAAAAATAAATGAAAATTAAAACAATAATAAAAGAAATATTTAATTTTTAAAAATAAACTAACTAAAATTCTGATATTTTGGTTATATTTAATTTGCTTTAATGATAATAATTATAAAATATATTATATTGATCAATATTTTTTGTTTGATTTATTTACAAATATGTGTTTCTGTAAAAATAAAAATTTTTGAGTTTAAAATTTATATTATTATAAAATACAAAATATAATTTAAATTAAAATTTTACTTTTATTTTAATCGTATTCGAATTTAATAATAATTAAGTATCTTTATCTAATATTTTAGATTAAGAATTATTAGATTTAACTAAAGAATATTGTATTGTTTTATTTTTTTGATTATTCATTATATTATATTTAAAAAAATAAGAAATTTATTAATAGAAATAAGTTTGGAATCATAATGTAAATATTCAAATTTTTAATACTAAATATGTTTCCAAATTTAAGTGACTTAAAAATTAAAGATTATAATTTAATTGTTTCAAGGCTTCTTTTATGAAAATATGAATATAACATATTTTTTTAATTTCTGAAATTGTAAAAGTTGATTTGGTGAAATTTTAATTTTTATGTCAATAATAATGACAATGAGAGATATGATATTGTGTTTAAACTTATAAATTTTATTATATAAATGCTTATGAATATTTATAATATTCTTAATTTTATTCATGATTTAAACTGATTTCTTTTTTTAAGTTAATTTATTTTAATAATGTTATTTATTATATTTTCTATCTATTACTTTATATTTTCTGTAATTTCTTTAAAAAACTCAATCAAAAAAATCTCCATAATCTAATTTTTTTTATGCTTATATATTAATTTTTTAATTATATTATAAAATTACTATTATATATTTTTTATATTAAGTTGGTATAAAATATTAATATATCTTCTATTGATTTTATTTATCTTCCAATCGTTTTTATATAATTTGTATATTATTATTGTTTTTCGAACGAAATTTTCTTTGGACAAAAGTTTTCTCAAATATAATTAATAGAATTAAATATTTTTAAAGAATTTATTGAAACCCAAAATATTTTAATTTTTGTTTAGAATGTTTATTTTAATTGGAAATTATTGGATATAAATTTTCGTTTGAATTATTATATTGTTTATATATTTCAAAAAAAAAAAATGAAATAACAAAAGTTATTTAATTTCATTTATATTCTTATTAATAAACTATAAAAAGAATTAAATATTTACTTATTAATCATTAAACAAAAAAAAATATGAAATTTTTAATATATATTGCTATTTATAAATATTTTTTGTATTTATATATTTATGAATATATTTTTTTTCATAAAATACATGGATGAACCATACTAATTGTTCCATCAGAGCTTGTTGCAAAAAGACTATCTTATACTTCTTGTAAAGTTATAACTGCACTATATTTTTTTTCATCTATTTTTTTTTAAGATTTATATATATATTTTTTAATACTTTATCTAAATGCAGGAATCTCAGTTATTAATTAGCAATTATCTAAATCATATATTTTTACATAACCATCATTAGTTCCAACACAAATAGCATTTTCTCTTTTGTTTAATAAGACACACCTATATTCTTAATTTTAGTTATTTTGATTGTTCTATTTTTATTAAATATATAATAATATAAATAATGATTTAATTTTTTTAAATACTTCTAAATAATTCGTAATTTATCCTTTTTTATAATCATAAATTTAAATCAAGCATTTTTTTGAATTAGTTAAATAAATTTAGTGTTTGCTTTCTGAATAATTTATGAAATTACCTCCGTAAGGTTTAGATTCTAATTAATTCTAAAAATGATATCAATAAGTTAATAAATATACATAAAATAAAAATACATTTTAAGGCATTAATAATAGATCATATATAGAAAATGAATTATTAGATATAGTTGCAATTATAGAACCATGATTAAGAAAGCAAAAATCGTTTATTTGTTTTTACTTATTTGTGGGTAATACGTAAAACGGTCCTAAATATTTAGTACTTTTTGTATAAATGAAAAATTAAATGATATATTAATTAAAAGAAAGTTACTATTTATGGAATTTCCACATATAAAAGTTTCCAGAAGAATCTAAGCCTGCGATTTTATCTCCAAAACGAGAAGTTTTTAAAAGAACGATTTATTCTTTATTTTAGGTTTAAAATTCCGCAACACAAACAAATTAAATAAATGCCCAAACTTAAACTGCACCTCTAGTTCCAATTAAAAAGAATGGCAAATTTGGATGTGAAATTATACTTGAAAAATCTTCATTAAAGGCTTTATTTGTTCCATTCTTTATATAAATAATTTCATATTTACTTATTAATTTTTTTAAATTACTTTTATCAAATCTTCAATATCTTTATCTGAAAAACATTCTTAATAAGCATGCATTTGGCTATTTAAAGTAATTGGATTTTTATTTTTAGTGTCAGTTTTTTTAACAATTTTATTTTAAATAAGTTTTACAGCCAATTTAATAGGAATTCCTTTATTATCTAATTACATATTATTAATTTTTTTGACTTCTTCTTTACTAAAATTATCATTATATTGAGAAGATTCCTTAAAATAGAAAAATAATTAAAAAAAAAATATGTATAAAAATAAACATCATCAATTAAGATATGGCCTTCTTAATTTCTATTTTTATTAAGTAGTTAATCAAATAAATCATATTTCTTTAATTATTTATTGCATAAACAAATTATTTCTCGATTAGAGTTTAAATGTTAATTAACACACCATCCTTTAATAATTTCAGATTTAATTTTAATTAATTCGATTCCATTTTTAAATAATAATTATCTATTGTTTTCTATATATTAAGACCATTCTTGATTAGGCTTTCGATATTATTAAATCACAATTTTTACGTTTAAATGTGCAAAAAGTTTATCGAAATCCATATCTCTTTTGAATTATAATAAAATTTAAGGATCAAAATAAGTATCTAAATCTTTAAAAATAAACGAGTGTTTATAATAATTTGAATCATTCATGATTTCTTGTATTTCTTAAATAATTCGATTTTGTTCTTATGTAGTAAATCTTTTCATTAATGCCTTTAATATTTTTTTTTGATTTTTGGCATAAAACTCTATGTATTTAAGAACATTTAGATAATTTATTTTATCTAATTAAGCCTTCATTACTCCTTCACAACCTTTAAGCCTTTTAGAAGTATTTATTTCGAAATTTTTCGCTGATAAATATCTTAAGAGACTAAAAAGAATCATTTTATATTTTCCATCAATATTATTGTTATTTTCGTTATTATTTTATGTTTAATTAATATCCTTTTCATATTAATCAATATTTAAATAGGGGCTAGAAGGGAATGCTTCTGCAAAAAGATCAGTAAATTTATGTGCCTTTTAATCTTTAAATTTTAATTCCCGCTTTTTATTAACCTCATCGAGAAGTTTTGGAATATTAAGGACGTATTTTATTGTCAAAGATTTTTATTAGAAAATTGAAACTTCAATAAATTCAGAAATCTCTTTTTATAAAATACATAATTCTTGGAATTAATCAAGTCCTGCATTTACTATAAAATAACAAAAAATTTAATAAAATTTTAGAATATCCAATTATTTTCTCACATTATCTTCTTTTGCAAATATAGATTCTTCTAAGTATTTTATTGATGTGTGAATTTAGTTTGTTGCATAAATAACATTTGCCCAATATTACCTTGTTTTTAACTTAATGGAATTATCTTGTGTGTAATAATAAAATAAATGCTATGATTAAATCATGAAATTCCATAGTAAATCAATTGCTTTGTCTATCTTATTCAAGGCTATATTTATTGATATTGATATTGATAAGGTTTTCATATTTTCAATTTTATTTATGACTTATTCTTGTAATTATTTTTTACTTAAGCCTAAATATTTACTCAGTTCTAATATATCTTGGAGTAAATTTTGAAAATAGCGATCTTGATTATTGTCAGCTAAAGCTTATTCAATTAAATAATCTAAATTTTTAGAAACTAATTTATTTAAGAGATGATTGCTTTCTATGTTTTTTATATATACTTTTTTTATATTTTTTTTTTTTTACATTCATCAATTTGTATTTAGTTTTTGTACGTTTTATAAAATATTAAACCCATTATTGGTTAGTTTATGTTAAGATAAAATTCTTAAGCATAAATAAAATGAGCTTTTAGATTTTCTTTTAGATAAACTTCTGGTTCTTTATTTTATTTTTTATCTTCTTTCATAAGATCATTATCATCCCCCCAGAAATCATCAAAAATATCGCTTTATTATTCATTTTTTTATTTTGCGTTTTCTAATTCTCTTTTCACTTTTAAAGAATCTCTTAATTTATTAGCCAAAATAATCGCTGAAGGATGAAAGAAGCTTAATTCTGGTTCAAATTTAGCAGACCAAGTTAAACATATTTTTTTTCCTCCAGCAGCAAATCTTAAAAAAATAAAAATATTTAAAATTATATTTATATTAAAAAAATAACTGAGTAGATTAATTGTTATCAAAAGAAAAATCGTATAAAGAATTAACAGAATTTACATGTTCGTTTAGCATATTAAATCCTATATGTTAAAGAAATATATCATTAGTAAGTTTTCCTGTTTTAATAAAATATTCTTGAATGAGTTTTCTAAAAATAGGCTTTTCTTTATCGTTTTCAAATAATCTGCAAGCAAGTACAGCTAATTAAATATCTTCTAATTTTTCAATCATAATATCCACTGCATCTTATAGAAATCCTCCTAAAAGGAAAAACCCTGCACACATTTCATATTGCTTTTTTTATAAAAGAACCATTGCGTTTTTATTTGCTATGTTTTTATTCTTTGGATCGTTAAAGTTGTTCTATAATAACTTGTATATTGCTTGGCATTTCGCGTCTATTTCTTTCTTGTATAGAAGGGCTAAAATGTTTTTTTTACCTAATAATAAATACCATAAAACTGCATTACTAGGATCTTTAGTTTTTGTATAAGCTATTTATGCTATTTTTTCTATGTAAGATCTTATTTATTCTAAATTATCGTGCCTTTATTATTTTTAGTAATTTTGTTTAAATATAATAAACATAATTAAATATTTTTTTAAAAAAAATACCATAAAACTACACAATATCTTTTTAATAAATCCCAAGATAAACTATTTGGACCTTTCTAAAGAAGTATTTTATCAATGCATTCTTAAACTAGAGATTCTTTTTGGTCTGAATGGAAGGCCCAAACAATTTCTTTTGTTTAAAGTGCTTTTATTTTAGATTTATTTGCTACATGAAATCTCATAATGTTAAATACACGAACATAAAATAAAAAAAGGGCTCCAAAAAAGTCCAAAGTTCTTTTATTTTGTTTCTAATAAAACATATATTCTACTAAAGTTTCCAAAAATACAGGGTCATTTTCATTTAAATTAAAGCATTACTTTTCTGATTAAAGAATATTTTAAAGTATTTCTAAAAAAGGTTTTTAATTTTCATTTTCAACAGCAAGGTTAATACTGTTTACAATTTCATTCTATATTATAACAGGTTAAGTATCGGGTGCATAAATAGTATTATATCTGACTAAATTCAAAGTATTTTCTTAAAATTCCTATTCTATATTTAAAGTTTAGGATGTTGCTTTTTCGAAGAGATCACCTAATCTTTCAATATTAATAGAAAATTTTGAAGAAATGTATCCTTTTTCTTTTAAACTTTAAAGACATTTATGTAAAATAATTTCAGCTAATTCGAAATTTCCCATAGAGAGTATTTCATAAATAAATTCAGGATGATGATGTGGTATTATTTAAAAAGAAGAAACAATTTTTCTGTAAAAGTTTTCAGGTAAAGGAATATAATTGTTAACGTGGTTTAAAGAAATAATTTAATCTTCGAAAAATCCGTTAAATCTATGTATATTTTCGTTTGTTTTTAAAATTATAGATTAATTTTTTGTTACATAAATATCATATTTTTTTGGATTTGAAAATCGAGAAATTCTCTTAAAATATAATATGTTTCCGTCTTTTTAAATAAAGTTAATTTAAAAACATTATTTCCTTTTATTAAATTATAGGTTAAATAACATTATATAATTCTCTACAGCTAATATAAAATTATCCTCAAAATAATGTTTTACTAGTATTCGAACTTATGCCACATCATAAAGTTTATGGTCGACACTAAAAAGAAAGTTTTTTAGATTAAATTTTGTTAGTATCTCACTATTTTGTTTGTAAAACTCTATTTCGTTATCAAAGTTGATAATATAATATAGTTCAGGAGTTGTATTAACCCATGCACAGTATTTAATAGGATACGACTTATTTATCTGAAGGGTTTTTTAAACGTTTTAATTATTAATATCATAAAAGCTGATTTACTTTTATTTACGAATTTATAATTTAAAAGAGAAATCTTCTTCTTAAAATTTGTATATTTTAAATTTTTAAAAATCTTCTTCTAAATGGTAGTTATAAATAATTTTTATTTCAAAACTGTTTGCATTTATAAAAATGTCTGAATTTACAATTAACTTTATTGCGTAAAACTTGGAAGTATTTTCAGGATTTATTATAAATATTAAAATCATTTATTTTTAATCATTTATATATTTTTTTAATAGTTTTATCATATAATCAAATTTTCTTTAATTGTTATTAATATAAAAATTTCCGAATATTTCTTTTGAATATTTTTCAATATTAAAATATTAATAATTCATACAATCATCTTAATAATTTAATTGCATTATCTCCATATTGCACATTTTATCATCAAATATAAAAACGTTATTGTTAAAATGCTCTACCTTCTTTATTTTATCTAATTTTGATACAAAGTTCCATTACCATTAACCTTCTTCTGATAAATAATCATAATTTTTAGGAAATATTTTTTATTATGGAGATTTTTAATAACATAAATTATTATTTTAGTCAATTGTCAAAATACTATCTTATTATTAATCATAAGAAAAATGTACGATCTATCCATATAGTTTTTATTTGTAAATAAAATTTTTATTTCACAAGAATGATTCTATTTTTTAATAAATATATATAAATATATAAATATATAAATATATAAATATATAAATTTATATAAATTTATATATATTTATAACAAAATATTATATATATTTATTCTATATTTATAATAAATATTTATTTATATATATTACTAGCTATTATTAAACTTTTACTAAATTTCCTAGATAATCTAATCCATATAAATTTAAGTATTCATAATCTTTATATCTTACTTATTATGCGTAAAACAATATTCTCATGTGTTTTAATAATTTAGGATTCTTTTAAATATATATAAAATTTTTATATATTTATTTATAAATTAAAATACATCAAAACTTGCATATATTTCTTAATGTGAATTTTTTGAAAGATTTCTGAGATTTGAAATTCTAATTAAATCTATAGAAAAGTCTTTTAATACAACTATCCAATCTAAGGAATTATATTCATTTTTTTCAATTAATCCTAAACCATATGTATCTTCTTCAATTTTTTAGTAATTATACCCAAGATCCTTTTTAGCATAATTTGTTGAGAAGTATACAAATGACATAGATAATTAATTTATTTACTATATTTTATCTAAATAAATTGTATGTAAATGGAAAAAACTAAATTCTTCCTTTTCTGGAGATTCTTACCAAACCTTCATTATACCTTAAACATCTACTGATACTATAGTATTTGGACCAAATCTTTAATTTGGAGATTTTATACTGTCTCTAAACTTGTGTGTTTATATGCCATTCTCGTGTCTTAGAGCAATATTTTGTATATTTGTTACTTAACTGCTTTCTCCTTCTTGTAAATATTAAGAACTAGAGTCCAAAATTTTTAAAAAATCCCAAACGAATATTATTGTTGATATTTCAGACATTGTTGTGAAAAATCGCGAGTCTTTTTTAATTTTAATTTTTTTTAATATTTTATTTTTACCTGGTGAGAATTTGACATTTTAAACACTTTCTTTTATTTCTAAATTAAAAATTATTTTTATTTTTAAAACACTTTATTCACTCTAATATTTTATATATTAAATAATAATATATTTTTTATTATTTACATTTTAAGTAGAAAATATAACATTCCATATCTTTATAGAATTTTTAGAACAAGTAATAAGATATTAATCTGTATAAAAAGCAATAAAAAATAAATTTAATATTTTTAAAATTAAAATAATATATATAAATATTACCATCAAAAGATGAATATCCATCATAAATTGCTTCATTTATTGATTATTAATTAGTTATAGACCATCTAATAGCAAAATTATTTGAATCATATTTAGGTTATAAAATATAAAACTCTTTCTCACAAAATACAAATAAAATTCCTCTGGAACTACTTGTCGCAACTGTTAATATTTCACTATGGAATGAACGTATAGTCTGTTTTTTTAATAAAATATCCATATTATTAAAAAAAAAATATTTTATAATTAATATTATTTCTAACTTAAAATTATTCTAATAATTCTGATGTAAAAAAAATTATTTTCTCTTTAGATATTAAAAGCAAATATGTCAAACGATCATATATTAAAATTTTTACTTTTTTATATCTATTTTATGTATTTACTTAAACTTTCTCAGACATTAATAAATATTTTTTTATTTAATTCTTTTATTAATTTTTTTTAATTAATAAAAGGATTGCTTTTTTGGTATTAAAATTTATTTCAAAAATTTATTTTTATTTCTATTTTTATTTTTTTATTACGTATATACTTATTATATCTAAATCTGTTTGATATACTAATTTTATTATTTATATTTATATTTATTATTAAAAAAATAAATATTAAAATATTTATATAGAAATATAAAAATAATTTTTATATCTTTGTATGTGATATTCGAAAATGATAAAATACATATTTATTATAAAATAAAATTTATAAATAAAATTTCATATTATTAATTATTTTATATCAGAAATTAATTTAACTTAAACATATTCATTAAATTAATAAATATAAATTATTTTTATAATATTTGATTGCAATATTATAACAAAAAAAAAACTATAAAAAAATAATCATTTCGTTTGCTAATTAATAAAACATTAAATATAATAATTAATGAATCGAAATGAAATTATATAAAATTTAAATATTTTTATTATAAACCATAAAAAGTAATATTATATTTATTAATAATTAATTAAAACCATATAATAATATAATATATTTTTTTAATATTTTAAAAATATCAAAAAAATATATAAAAAAGAATTAAAAATTAAAAAAAATATTTAATAAAATAATGTCTGTAATCTAATTATGTAACATATAAAATAATGAATAAGAATAAGAATAAGAATAAGATTTTACTTCTTTGTCTAAAATAAAATAGAATGAGTAACCTTTAATAAAATTTGATTTATTATAAATAGTTAATTGGGTTATTAACCATTTATAAAAAGATATTTTTTAAAAAAATATTCTTAAATTATAAAGCTTAGATTTTCTGAAATGGTCTGGATTTTATTTAACATAAAAGAAACCAAAAATATATTTTATAATATATGTGCAAAGATTAAGAAGCTTAACAAAATGTTCTGATAACTGTTTCATTTTTTCTATTATGTTAATTGATAAATTATTATAAACTAAAAAAATAAATTATACAGTTTTGAATAAACACAAGTACTATTTAAAAATTTTCTTTTTCTTATACATAATGAAAAATATTATAATATATTTATTTTATTATAAAATAAAATTAATTTTATTTTATTTTATTTTTTAAATTTTGTATAAAGATTGTTTGCAATATGCTTATGGCTTTGTGTGAAATTTTATGAAGACGAGATTTTTACAGATTCTTGTTTTTCAAAAATTTCTGGAATTCCTTTAAAAGAACTTATTTTACTATAAATTGAGTTACTTTCATTACTTGATTACAAATTATATATAAATTAGATGTAATTTTAAAATTTTTTGAATATAATTAATAATTTATTTCAATAAAATCTTACTTTTTAATAAAAAATACATTAATGATTAATTTTTATACAATTTAATTAATCATATTAATAAAAATAATATTTAATTTTAAGTTTTGAAAAATTGTATATAGAAATATTTTGCATTATATTTATTTAATGAAAAGTACATATTAAAAATAAAATTATAATAATCTTAAAAAATAAATTAATATTTAACTAATTTAAATATTATTGTTTTTAGAATAATAAAATATATAAATTTTTAATAAAATATTTTTTCTCAATATTATTTTGTATATTAAATAAATATAATAATATTTTATTATTATTATTTTTTATAAATTAAATAAATAATTAACTTATACTCTCATATTTAATTATTATTTGATATAATTATGCATACATTATTGTATTCTTCTTTAAAAAATAAAAAGTATTTTAATAATTTTTTTTCATTATATATATTTAGAATTCAAAAACTAGTTTCTTTATTAAATATAAAAATTTTTCAAATTGTAACTTATTATAAATAAAGTTAAAACATTTTTTTTATATTATTTAAAAATAAAAAATAATTGATATCATTAAAATAAAAATAATTACTAAAAAAAATTATAAACATAATAAATGAATAATTTTAAATAATATTTAAGAGTGAAACCTATAAATCAAGATTAAGAAATTATATAATTATAAGAAAATAAATTAATAATAAAAGATCCGTCATAAAAAATAATTTAACTTAATTCTCATAAAGCTTCATTCAAAGAATAAACTTTTTAGTTTTAAAAAATTTTTAATTAAAACACACTTTAAGAGGAAATATTTTAATAAATAGGATAACAAACAATCGATAGTGCTTTAAAAGGAAACAATTAATTAATCATAACTTATGGATAATCTGGCAGTGGAAAATCATTCACATTATTTGGAGAAGATAAACATTATACTCCTTAAAATGATTAAAGTATTTTAGAAAAAAACAAAGGTGATTAAAGAGGAATTATTACAAGATGTTGCGAATATTTGTTTAAAAAAGCTGAAGATATGTAAAAATCAAAACAAGTAATTATAAGTATAAGTTTATCAGAAATTTATTTTGATAAAATTCGAGATTTAATTAAACCTTATTTAAGTTCAGGTATTTTTAATTACAATATATGTGTATAAAATATATTAATTAAAAAAAAAAAGATTAAAAAGAAGCAATTAATTATGGTAATATTTTTATTTTGAACAAAAAATAAAAAAATAAAAAAATAATACAAAAAAGAAAAATAAATAAAATAATTAGAAGAACATAATTTAATTCTTTATGAAAATACAAATGGATAAATATTAGTTAAAGATTTAACTTCTCTATTTTTAGAAAATTTAGAATAATTATATTTAATTTTAAAAAATGCAGTAAAAATAAAAATAAAAATCTAAATATATTAATGATTAAAATAAAAAAGTTTCAAATAAGAGAAGTATATGAAAATAAAGGTGTTTTTATAAATTCTAGATCAAATACTATATTTAATTTAAATATAATCATAAAAGATAAAGAAAATGAAAATGTATTAATATCTAATTCTTTAGTATAATTTGTTGAATTACCTGGTTCTGAAAGAATAGCAGAAAGTATGAATGAAGGCTAAAAATATCAAGAATCTGTATTAATAAACTAATCTTTATAAGCAATTGGAAAGGTTTTTTTTATTTAAAAATTAAAAATTAAAAAATTAATATAGTGTTTATAAGCGATAGCATTAAAAAATCCGAATATAAATTATAAAGAAACGAAAATAACAAGAATGCTATAAAATACAATGAATTAAAAGAGCTTTATTTATTTGATTGGGTGTATAAATCCTCATGAGAGTAATTTTGAGGAATGCTTAAATACTCTACAATTTTTGGAAAGAACTACTTTTGAAGCTTCTAAAAATAAGAATTTTTAGAAAGAATAAAAAGGAAATTTGTAAGATATAGATTAAAATAATTTGACTCATGAAGATATAATCTAACAATTAAACAAAGAAATTTTAATGTAAAAAGTATTTGTCGATGAAATTTAAAAAGAACATAAAAAAAAACTTCATAATATTTAAAGTTTATTAGGTATTGATGCTGATTTAGATAGATTATTTATGAAAAGTTCATCAAAAGATTTGTAAGCAATAATGCAAAAAAAAGAGGCCCTTATAAAATTGGATAGTGTATAAAAATCAAATGCAGAACTAGAAAAAAAATAGAAAAACTAAAAAAACATATTTAATAGATAAAAAAGGATGAAAAAGAAAAAGAAGAAGCTAATACTTGCTAAATTATTGAGTTACGAGAATAAATCATAACTTTAAAAGGTATAAATATAATAATTTATATTCATTTATTTTTGTTTATTTTTTGAATTTTCATTTTTCTGAAATAAATAAAATAATAAAACAGAAAAGATGAATGCAAAAGAGATTTATTCAAAAAATGAAATTTACGAATTATAAAAAAAGCGAGAAAGCGAAAAAAATATTATTTGTGAAAGAAATATAGATCTTTTTTAAGAAAAGTCTAACTTGAAGTTTAATTTACCTAATTTTAATTAAAATAAAGCATAGGATAATCAAAAATTAAACGATATTAAAAAAACACTAAATAAGAGTTAGAAAAAGAATAATAACTTATAATTGAAAATTTAAAAAAGAATATTAGTAGTTGCTTGAAAATAATAAAAGTTAATTTGAATTTTATTTGAAATAAAAAAATGATTAAATTGATGGTTATACTATTGAATTAAATGAATATAGAACTAGAAAAAACGATTAAATTGTTTAAATGAAACATGAAATGTTAGAAATGTATGATATACTAAGTAGATTCAGCAATATAATTTAGAAAATAGATGTAAAAAAATAATGATAAAAGTTTAAATAATATTTATTGTTTATATTTTTAGATTGGATATTATAGTAGTGGAGTTAAGCAATTTCCAATTCCAGCTTAAGACAAACCTTAATTTCCTTCTCGATTAAAATTTAAAAAGTTATTTTTTTAAAAAATATTATTTTATTTTATATATAAAAATAGTTTATATAAAATGATTGATTAAAGACATATAAATAATAGCTAATATATAAATAATAACAGTTAATAAATTAATAATTAAAGTTAATTTATAAATAATAATAACTATAATATTATGGATAATATTAAAAATTCTCAAATATAGATAAAGAAAATTTATAACAAGGAAAAAATTGTAAATTAGTAATAATTATCTTTTTAATATATTTTTTTTAAAAAAAAATATATACATATAAAATAGAAATAGTAAAGATGATTTAGAATAAATGAAAACAATAACAGAAAATTTAAAAGGATAGATTTTGTATTTATTTATATTTTTAAATAATAAAGAAAATAATAAATATACATATATAAAAATAAAAAAATAAAATAAAAAAATAATTATAAAAATATATATATATTTGTATATATATATATATATATATTTATAATATTTATATATATATATATATATAAATATTAAATTAGTTATAATATATATAACATATTTAAAATAGAGAATCTATTTCAAGAGAAAAAAAGCTGTCGTAAATAGTTAAATAATTTGAAACTTTAAATGAAAATGTCGACATTGGTTTATTATAAAAAGAAAAAGAATAATTTAAGTAATTATATCATTAGTAATTAATAAAATATAATAAAGCAAGATAATTATTAGAATCATAAAATAGAATATTAAATATTCCAAAATTTTAATTATAAACTAATAACTTTAAAAAAAATTAAATTTTTACAATAAATACTTAAGTTGTTTAAAATTAATAATATTTAAATAAATCTTTAGCTTAAATACAATTTACATCAAATTAATAAATATGAACATTAATATATAAATATTATTTTTATTTATATTATATATAATTATTTTATAAAAAAAATAAAATTAAAAAACTAAAATATTGAATATTTGAAAAAAATTATATATATGTAAATAATAATAATTAAAAAATAATAAATAGATAAATTTATAATATACAATAAAACAATATAATAATTAAATAAAAAATAAATAAATAAATTAAAATTTTAATATAAAAAATTATTTATAAATATAAAAAAAATTAATATTATTTTAAATATAAAATAGAGTATAAAAATAAATATATCTAATAAATATTTTTATATTTTAAATTATAAATAATATAAAATAT